GGGGGGGGGGGGGGGGGGGGGGGGGGGGGGGGGGGTGGCACCGAAGAGAAAAGGGTTGGATAAACAAAATTTTGAGTAAGTAAATGGTTGGGTAAATGAAAAACAATTTTGAGTAAGTAAAGGGTTGGGTAATAAAAAATTATTGTTATTTCCAAGCATGACTCACTGAAATATTGGAGACTAAAAAGCAATGTCAACAGTCATATGTCAATACAATATGTGAATCAATCAGAGTCACTATATATATCTTGATCATTTTCCGATTTGTTGGGAGACAAATGGTGTCTCCAAAGAAAGTACATGTGCAGACAACATGGAACCTTAGACTGAAGAAAATTTCACAATCCGTTATCAAACTCATGTCACAGAAGTGCATGGTAAGACAACTGAATGGTATCTTTTTGTAATGTTTTTGACCAGGGGTGGGTATTTCTTTTTTAATTGATATTTGAGGTTGGGTAACCAAATATTTTACTTTTTAATGGTTGGGTCAGCAAAATTTTTGCCACGAAAAACATTTCTCTTCGGTGCCACCCCCCCACCATAAATAATGACCGGTCCCTAAGCTAGCTATAAAATTTCTTTATAGCAAAATGTTACGATGAAGCCAAGAAGCGAAACCTCCCTTTGGTCTGCAGTTTCAACCGTCGTTTCGATCCTGGACTGCGCGAAATTTACACGCGAACAAAATCGGGCGAAGTCGGGCAAGTTCAGATGGCAAAACTAACAAGCCGAGACTCGCCGTTACCGCCATTGGAGTACCTTAAGATATCGAATGGAATCTACCACGACTGCGCAGTTCACGACCTCGACGTGCTGACGTGGATCTACGGGGAGAGACCGCTGAGCGTATACACGACGGCTCATAGCTTTATTAAAGAAATCGAGGCCATGAACGACGTTGACACTTTAGCGATTGTTCTGAAATTTCCAAGCGGAGGAATTGGCCTCATTGATATCTCTAGATTCGCTTGCTTCGGTTACGATCAGAGATTCGAAGTTTTTGGCGATAAAGGAATGCTAGTTCAACACAATTATAAGCCTTCGAACGTCGAGTTCTCCGGGCAGAACGGCTCATCGACGGGGCGGATATATCACTCTTTCCCAGACAGATACGCCGAATCCTATATCAAAGCTTTAGATCATTTCGTAGATGTAATTCAAGGAAAATGCACGACAGAAATAACAAAGGAATCCACCCTGCTTGCGAGCGAGATTGTCGAAGCCTGCGAGCGGTCCCTTGAAACCGGACAAGCGGTTCTTTTGCCTCCGTAGACTTCACGCTAGATAGTACATATTTGGCCTTTATTTATAATTTGCATGGCCTCAAGAACATCTATTGTAATTATATATAGTTAGATATAGACTTTGAAATTCGCATGCAGCATTTATGTATAACCGTTTACATAACTACATATATGAGCTTTCGACTAGATTCTTCGAATTGAAATTTTCGCGCTATTTTCTGCGTTGTTGTTGTATTCGACTCGAGCGTCTGATTGGTGCTTCGGCTGACTGTTGATTGGTTTATCAGTTCATTTCCGTGCAGGATAGCGTCATCCATGGATGCACTTGGGATGTTGCTCAACTTTCCGAAAATCTCACAACATTTCGCGTGGATAGATGACGTTATTCTGCACGGAAAACCATTTGGTATTCCTTTAACGGTATCTTTATAAAATTGTTCAGCCAATAAACGAGCTCGGGTCTTCGTAGTACTGTTGTTTAGTTTAGGCTTCAGCTCATTGGGAAGTCACGAAGTTTAGACATTCTTGGGCACTTTCGACCTGAAAACAATGGAGGGAATTATTATATTTGTGCCTTGATAGGCTTAATTAAATCGCTCACAAGTAACGAGTTTTCAATAATACTAATAAATACGAATAACCAGGGATTTTACCTTTTCTTGAATCGCTCTGAAAAGAAAGAAAGAATAAACTGTTTAAAATTGGAATGACTAAATGCTTCTAATGTTCTATGTTATTTCAGATCGTGTTATGTTTACATTTTGCTTTATGAAGTTTATATTTGGATATGGATGGAAAATGCATACCGATAAAAAAATCAAACATCACATGATCTCAGATTATGTGATGCTTGCATACGAAAATGAGATGGTTTTTTGACCCTACGGAGTAATGACATCACTGCAAACAAACAGTATTATAATAGCATCATAATACTAATATGCCACCCAGTCTCATTGTCTTTTCATTGTTTTTCCAGTGATCAGAATGTTCTATTGTCTTTTCATTGTTTTGAAAATCGCACTGCGTCCCAGTGATCAGAATGTTCCATTGTTTTCTATATCGTCCATTCAATTTTGTTGGGCCCCAGTCTTTTTTGTGTGTTAAATATTTCCGCGCAAAGGACAAGATATCTGTTTTCTTGGGCTAAGTACAGAAATTTGGCATTCGCCCGGAAAAATTTTTTACTCCGGAAAAAATGTACCCCTGAAATGGTACACTGACCGAAAATTTTTTGGATAGGGGGGGAGGTTGTTCTCCGGGAAAATTTTTTGGATAGGGGCCCCCCAAAAAAATTTGCCCTCGGCCCCCGCCAACCTCTCGGCGGCCCTGCTCTTCGCCATGCAATGCAGTCATGATCCAGTGAACTGAATGTTCTATTGTCTTTTCATTGTTTGAAAATCACACTGTTCTCCATGCCATCCACTCATGTTTGTGACATATTTGTTACGTTATGCAACTAGTAGCCTGCAAAGCCCGCGAGCGCCTGCTTTGCATATGCAAAAGGTGGTACCTGGACAGCCTGCCTGTGCGTGTCCCTGCGCGGGTGTTTTTCCATCTGGGCAGCAGCCCCATCTCGTTGTTGCACAAGAACCTCCTGAAGGTGCGTCAGCAGCCATGTTGTTGAATGCTGAAACTAAAATAACAGTAAAGTTAGATACTAATAATCCGCGGCTTTTCAATTGTAAAAAATATCCCAGAGGTGTGAGGGAGCTGACCATGTCTTGTACTCACAAAATAAGTGGATAAGTGTGTCAAAGAGCGCAGGTTTTGACATTTTAAATAGCAAGAAAATTTAGAAAATGAAACGAATGTAGTTACTTATTGTAACTTATTGTAAGGGGCCCCATAATTGGAGATTATCTCTGTGGCTAGTCCTAGCCTGCGAACTGGCTCTCAAGCTGAATTGAGAGCCTGCATCGATGACTAATGAATTTGAATATCTGCGTCTCAAATCGTGACGCGAAATTCTCATTGGTCAGATGCTATAATTTATATGTCTCCGCTGAGCTCTATATATGTCAACTGCTGAAGCACTATGCATAAAAAACACATTAACTGATCAAATTGGTCTTGGCCATCTTTCTCAAAGCACGAAATGTTCTGTTTTGAGAAAACAGTATTTAAAACATTTGAACTTTTGCTTGAATATCTTATATTTCGAAAAACAGTATAAACTGTACGGTCTAAATTTAGGTTGCACGGTCTAAATTTAGTTTGCACGAAAGTTGTAAACAACACCATATAAGGATAGACATTCCATATTTGGAAAAACGAACGTTACGGGGCAGATATTCAAATTCATTAGTCATCGATGCAGGCTCTCAATTCAGCTTGAGAGCTTGTTCGCAGGCTATGGCTAGTCCCTGCCAAAATTGTATGTAAATTTTGTAAAGTATTAGTCTTATTTAAGTCTGTTATGTTTGACGAATCTTGTAAAAAAAAAAAAAGAAAAAGAATGTATGAATAATCCAGTTATAATTTTGAGATCAGTGGCAATACACCTTCTGTCACCCTCGGTCACCCTATGCTATTCCAAAATGTCCCTCATTCACCCAACAATGAATGCGGGAATCGTTTGAGAATCAAGATGGCGCTTTATGGCGGGGAATTTAAAATTTTGAATTTTACTTTTTGTTACTTTTGAAGGCCATTTAAACTTTAAATACCCGATAAATTCGATGAATTAGTTTAAACAAGGTATGTTTTTGCTAATTGCCGAGGATTTGTGTCGTAATTGCCGTATCTACGATGAAAAATGTTGTTATAAGTTGAATGGTTTTGAAACTAAAATTTCACACGCGAGGTCTTGTGATGTTTAATAATTTTATAAATACAATTAAAAAATACACGTGTTTTATATTTTATGAATATAATTTTGAAAAGCAATAGTTACTGCTTAGACCAGTCTGAGGCTCTGAGCAGTAACTATAAACTATTGCCTCAGAGTTTAATACTGCTGAGGGAGCCACAGAATGCTCAAAGAACATTTTCAATACTGAAATCATACTAATATTTATAGTTAGTGTTTAATATAATTAGTAGCGTATTTGATTCAATTATTATTCTTACTTTGACAGTTATGCCCCATCCAATCAGCAGAACAATGACAAACATAATTATTGTTTCTCGATAGGCAGATCCCACCATGGTCACATGGGTTAGGACGGCAACGATCCTTGTCTGTTTAATTATGGTTAGTATTAATTGTTAATCATTAGTATAAGTTAATTGTTAATCAATAATCATTAATTGTTCATTATGGTTATTAATTGTTAATTATGGTTGTTAATTATATTTATCATAAATAACTTTTCCTGTTTCCAGAGAAAATTGTATAAATGATCAAGGTAATACAACTGGGTGTTTGATGGACTCTTCCCAATTGAAGTAGCTAAGGGGCTTTCCCAACTGGGTCTACTGGAAGATTTTCATTTTTTCTAATGAGAAAATGCATTGCGTTTGATTTTATATTATTATATCAAAGAACGTTTTATTTTAATTACTTTTTCCAATTATTCATTAACTATTTTCTCAAAATGTATCGCGTTTCATTCATATTGGGTGTGTATTCACTGAAATGAAATGTACAAAACAAGTGTGATCGGTGTGCATCTGTGTTCATTCACCGGAAATGAAATATACAAAATGAAGTGCCATCGGCATTGGGTGCATTTTCAGTGTTCATTCAAACTAAGAAAACATTCCCCCCCCCGGTTCGCCAACAATTTTGGGAAAAGAAATATTAATATTAATTAGTGGTTGAGATGAGTCTGCAAAAATGCACTTAAAACTCCTCCCCCTTCATTGAAACAGGGCTAGCGACGCCCCTCTAGCTAAAACGGTAGCTTAGTTTTTAATGAAATGTACAAAACCAAGCTACCGTTGTTTGCATCTAAGGAGAAACATGTTGAAAAAAAACACTATTTATTCCTACACAAGGAATAAATTTTGATTGGTCAGAAAACTTTCCCAATTTACGTTTAACGGACAAAACTTTTTTTCTGGCTAACACCCTGTACAATCGGACCTTGCGAGAACATACACTGCAGATCCTAGCGAGAACATACACTATAGATCCTAGCGAGAACATACACTGTAGATCCTAGCGAGAACATACACTGTAGATCCTAGCGAAAACATACACTGTAGATCCTAGCGAGAACATACACTGTAGATCCTAGCGAGAACATACACTGTAGATCCTAGCGAGAACATACACTGTAGATCCTAGCGAGAACCTACACTGTAGATCCTAGCGAGAACATACACTGTAGATCCTAGCGAGAACATACACTGTAGATCCTAGCGAGAACATACACTGTAGATCCTAGCGAGAACATACACTGTAGATCCTAGCGAGAACATACACTGTAGATCCTAGCGAGAACATACACTGTAGATCCTAGCGAGAACATACACTGTAGATCCTAGCGAGAACATACACTGTAGATCCTAGCGAGAACATACACTGTAGATCCTAGCGAGAACATACACTGTAGATCCTAGCGAGAACATACACTGTAGATCCTAGCGAGAACATACACTGTAGATCCTAGCGAGAACATACACTGTAGATCCTAGCGAGAACATACACTGTAGATCCTAGCGAGAACATACACTGTAGATCCTAGCGAGAACATACACTGTAGATCCTAGCGAGAACATACACTGTAGATCCTAGCGAGAACATACACTGTAGATCCTAGCGAGAACATACACTGTAGATCCTAGCGAGAACCTAGATCCCAGCTATTATGGATGTCACCCAAGTGTGCGAACACAACAAAAATTTGTGTTCAAATCCAACTTTGTCTCTCACAATGGGTGATTCCAGCTATGGACTAAATATTGGTCAAGGCAAGAAGAACGAAATCCATCACCACAGCTAGAAAGGGCGTCGTAGAATGAGTAAAACTGAAACGATTGGTTTGCTAAATGTTGTAAAATGAAGAAAATATAGCCCTGTGAAGTTCACAAATTTTGTATTATTATTTTTGTATTACGCGCGATAAAGATAATTTTTGAGGCAAAAATGGTTATTTGTGAACTTCACAGGGCTATGCTTTCCTCATTTTACAACAATTCGCAACCAAACTTTGCAATTTTACTCATTTTAAGAATAGATGCTCTTTGCAACTATGGTAAACTTTCGTTCTTCTTGCCCAGATCAAAATTTTGTCTATAACTGGAAACATCCATTTGGAAACAGGACCAAACAAGTTAAGCTTGGATTCAGGTTAGCCTTACCTTCACAGGTATCGCCATTCCACCCGCCTGGGCAGGTACAGACATAGTCTAATCCTTCTGTTTCACATTTTCCATCGTGGTGACATGGGTTCGGGTGACATTTATCTTGAGCTGAAAAAAAAAATTGTCAGCAAGGTTTTGCCAGCAGTATTCCATACATGAGAAGAAAGATGTGCCATGAAAAATTATGTGTTGAAATGAACATGCCTAACCTCTAAAATTCTAGCTATCCTGCAACCCTACCTTCGCACGTTTTCCCCTTGAAGCCGTTTGGACATGTGCACGTGAACTCGACGTCATTTTCAAAACATGTTCCAGCATTCATACACGGGTTAGGATGACATTTTGAACGAACTAGAGAGACGAGAAATATATATATTGTATAAATTATACACAACTGTCATGTTGATAGGCTCAGCTGGCTGGGTGTTTCTGTTTATATTAGTTAAAAGGTTTATTGAGTGTGCATTTATATACATTTATTAGATCTAACCAGGAACAGTGGCTGTGAAAAATGCAACTGTAGGGCCTGGCAGGGATCGAACCTGGGATTCCGGTGCAGCGCTCTCAGGCCTTAAAATATCGGTCGGTCACGGACATTGTCCGACCCATTCGTGAAATTGTCTGACGTAGAGAGGAAACCACCGGACATTCTGTCCGACCTAAATGAAGCCGAAGTTTATTGTTTGTCCGACCCGAGTGTATTGGTGTCCTATCGAACGGTAGCTTTGTCCAACGTAAATCAAAGTGTACCCTAGTCCAGGACTAGAGGCTCAACTATGTTAAATGGAAAATGTGAAGTCGGAAACGGGCTTATTGCTTAAGTTGACAAAGTCGTACTGCTGTTTTTGGCAAGCAAGTTAATTTGGCTTGGACATACTGTAGGTATGAATGACGCAAATTATTTAATATTTTCACAACATTCACCGTTCAGAATTAATACATTGTGCTGATATTAATTTGTGTCATTCAGAATTATTTCCGAGCCAAACTAAACTGAAGGTCATCGGACATCATAATACACATGTCCGACCCAAACTCACAGTCATCGGACATTTTGTCAGACGGCCTTGTCAACTGAGCTACAGAGGCCAGTTGTCGATTCTTAAACGTAGAATTACAATTACAGTATTATACTGCTTTGACATTTTGTTCACAACTGATGCACATTTTTGAGATATTTTGTGGTGGATAGGGCCTTAGCCAGAAACAGATACCTGTGTGCCAAAATTTGGTAATTGGGTTACAATTTCATATTTATGTGGTGGTGATGTGTGTGGGATGGGGGAGAGATATTCGCATACCACCGATCCCATGCGCAAACATCACAGATTAATATGTGGTATAAGGTCACGCTTACCTTCACAGGTAGGACCGCTGAAGCCAGCTATACATGTACAGCTGTCGCCATTAGGACCCGGGGAACACGAACCACCATTGCGACATATTGTGGAACGGCAGTGCTCTTCCTCTGCAAATACAAATTAGTATATGAGAATTACCATTCACATCTAAGGAAATGTTCTTAGTTCTTAGTGCTACGTACAACCTCCAACCTTTCATGTATTTGGTCAGATTGCTACTACACATCATAACTGCAACTTTTTAATTTGTACATGAAAGGTCGCATGGTGCCCAAGGGAGGGAAGAATTGAATTGCCTCTGGCGACCTGAGCTTCTGCCAAAATGCTATTCGTTTTATATGATATATACAGATACATTGTATGAACAAGCAAAGCATTCATTTCTTTCCGCCAAGAAAACTTGAGAATATAATGTGAATATAAAAAACCACGAGTAAACAACAACCTTCGCAGTGTGGTCCCCTGTAGCCGGAAGGGCAAATACATTTTGCTTGAAGTCCATACGATGCTGTACATGTTCCTCCGTTAAGACATTGGTTGACTTCACACGCGTTGATGTGATCTGAATGAATAAACAAAGGTTAAAATAATTATTCCGATGTCCATTGCTGGAACATATGTTCTGGAACGTATGTTACATACGTAAGAATGTACAACTTGTAACAAACCTACAGCAGACTTGTAGCAATGTTGTTTCAACAACTTGTCATCAGGATGTGTTCGCATTGCTTGTTCTCAGCTTGCTGACAAATTGTCAAGGCTTGTTGACAGATTGTTACAAGATTTTCGACTCAATAGACGTCTTACAAGTTGTTCCAACATCTTGTTAACGAGTGACAATGCAACCTTGTAGTAACTTGATGAAATGACAACATAAAGTTAGTTTTGTATCACTCACCTTCACAATTGGTTCCTTTATAAGGTTTGGGACATTCGCATCTGTAGTCACCAGTCGTGAAACTTTCATGACAAAATCCGCCATTTTGACATGGGTTTGGCTCACATCTTTTCTCCACTACGTTAAAAAAGAAATGATTTGAATACCCTGGGCCTACCAGATGTAGATCGTGGTCCAAAAATATGGAGCCCACTTTCTTATGACCTAAACCATTCGATGAGTGTACATGTATTAAGTATGAAGAAAATATTATTTCATTTCTCAACAATCTCCTTGACAGTTAATGAAGAAAATTCAGTTAAAAAACAGCATCTGTAATTCAGACGACTTATGTATACTATATTAAGCCAACACGAGCAAGTTTCCCTTCACAAGTTTTGCTGTTTGAGTACACCGTCGCGGGATGTTATTCAACATTTATTTCTCGCGTCAAGGTCGCTTTTTGTTTGCCAAAACCATAGAAGTATTTCTTGTACATTTGTCAAGTTTTCCTTGGCGGTCATACACACGAACAAATTTTCCTTGTCCAAAAGCTGTCATGACTAGCTTTAGAACAAGCTAGGCTCTTTGGCAAGGAAAAATTGTCAATTTTTTACCGCATACACGAGCAAATAAAACTTGTCAAGGAAAACTTGATCGTCTGCACGGGGCTTTGAGGTATGATGTGTAAATTAACGGTCAAATAAAGCTGTGTTAATTCGGAATGGAAATCGCTTACTTTCGCATGTTCGCCCTCTAAATCCTCTGGCGCATGCGCACTTGTACACCATGGGTCCCAGGTTGATGCAGGAACCATCATTAAGACATGGTTCTGAGTCACATGGGTTGATCACAGCTGAAGGAGAGAAATGTTTGTAATTAGACGACTGAAAGACTATTTATACTGGACACATTTTCTAGACGTAATATTTCAATTCCGACTATGAGGACTGGACTAGATTTCAAGTCCTCGCAATTTGATTAAAATGCAAGCATTTGAAATCTAGTCCAGTTGGAATGGACGACTTGCTCTTTAGACTAAATTTTAATCTAAGTAAGAACAACGAAATCTATCACCCCAGCTAGAAAGAGCGTCTTGGAATTAGTAATATTACAAAGTTTGGTTGCGAAATGTTGTAAAATACGGAAAATATAGCCCTTCAAAGTTGGCAAATTTGTATGCTTTTTTATTACGTGCGTGAATTGGTAACTAAATTAGTTACCAATTTCCGCACGTAATAGAAATGTATACAAATTTGCCAACTTCGCAGGGCTATATTTTCCGTATTTTACAACATTTCGCAACCAAACTTTGCAGTTTTTCTAATTTTGATAACTTCTTTCCGAAAATATGCTTTGTTATTCCCAGATTAAAAATTTTTCTAAAGCGCAAGTCGTCCATTGGAGGATTTGAAATGACATCTCATACGAATAAATCACTACTTAAAGTTAGGTGAAATAATTTTGATCCAGTCCAAGGCCTAGGACTGCCATGAATTTTGATCCAGTCTTAGGAATGGATCAATATACCTCACCAGGTATCCAGTATTATCATGTGAGCAAACTAACTTTATTTATACTGGACAGGACTTCCAGTAACTTGCTACAAGTTGTTCCAACACGACTAATAGAGACCTTACGATTTTAGGACGGGAACGCGACGGGGACGGCCAAAACAAACTCCTTCAAACAAATGGTAGTGAAGATAGTTCGTCGTATATTATCAATCGTATGAATTTAATACAGTTTTAGAAGTTGAAGACATGGGTTTTATAGTTGGGAAGAATTCTGCTAAACCCAGTTTGAAGTTGCACTTGTTGTGGCTTGGAATGCAGCCGTTGTATCAAGACGTGAAAATCTGTGATCTAGCGTTGTAAACAGAGCGAGGACAATGTCTAAATTATTCATATATTGTAATTAATCAATTCTTTTCAATGATCTATTGTATTGGTAGCCGTTGCCATCGCGTTGCCGTCCTAAAATCGTAAGGTCTCTAATACAGGCTGTTCGTAACAGGTTGCTACGAGCTTGTTGTCATTTCACACATGTACCATTGTATTCATGTTGCAATTATCATTCCTACCTTCACAGCTGACTCCAGTGAAACCTTGAGGACAGAGGCATTGAAATGCTCCCTGAGAATCCAGACATGTCCCTCCATTACGACACGGACTCGTGTGACAACGACTTTCAACTGTGAAAAAAAGGTTGGTCTGACTAAGTATTATGCATTACTATAGACCTCAAAATTAATAGAAATAAAAACGTTACATCAACAAACTACAGATTTTGGAAAGCTTGAGAAAACAATATCCGGTGGATATACGGCTATCCCATTTTCCTATAGTACACCTGCATTATACCTGGGGTATATGCATTTTCGAGAACATTTATGAACAATGCTTTCTACTTACGTTCGCAATGAATGCCGGTATAACCGGAAGGACATAAACATGAGGTCATCGCAGGCCCCTCTCCTCCCATACACGTCCCACCGTTCATACATGGACTGAGATGACAGTGATCGATTTCTAGGAACAACACAGAGTAAACATAGTAAGAGGCAATTTTTTTGAATGTCGCGTATATTTGCAATGCAATGCAATGAAGTGTTCCAAAGCTAAAATCTTTTTGGCGTTCCTCTCAAAATTACTTTATTTTAGCTTTATTTTGTAGTTTACACTGTTAGCAACCTTTTTAAATGTATCTGGTGATCGAGAAACATAAAATAATAGTTAAAGTGGAAGTCAAGTCCGTTCTGCGCATCGGTTCTGCTCATAACAATGTGAGGACCCTCTAATGTGAGGACCTGAACATGAACTCTATTTCATATTCATTTAGAAGCATAGCGAACCAATATGGTGTTAGCTGGATATTCAGACAGTACATCATATTTTAAAAATACAGCAGTTCAAAATGTAAACAAACCGTTTGCTTACATTACGGACTTGACTTCCACTTTAAATATTGTGAATTTATAATACAATTATCATTGATGCTACAAAAGATTCTCTTCTTAAGATTATTTATGTTGAATGTCTAGTCTCTCAAGCTGTCGGTAATCTTGTCTTCAAATCCTCCATTAATCTATGTTGTAATTTTGTTTTGACTGAAATAAAATATCATCGGGTAGTATAATTTCCGAACTGAAAATTTGATAGTTACCATCACATGTAGGTCCTCTGTACTCGGCTCCACAACTACATTCAAAACCTCCGTTTATTTCGGTGCAGGACCCCCCGTTTTTACAGGGATTTGGCTGGCATTTGTTGTGTTCTGGAAGAAAAGGAAAGGCTTAGTATGGTTTATTATAAGATTTGAAGAGAAAGGAATTAAGCTTCTCCTTAAAGGCCTTTATATACAGCAACTTTCGTAGAGTCTTTCCATGAGCTTTTCAATGATGGATTGCCATTTTTATTGGAGAATCATGAGGCGCTATCTACAATCTGTACAACACATTAGGAAATCTCTGCAGAGGAGATTGTATTGCTGATGAGCATTTTATGCAAAGTAACGCTTTGAAGATTTGGCCCCCTGCTAGAAAACAACTTCAGATGATACAGTACATATGAAGGTACTGTACACGTACTCAGAACATTCATATAAACTCTTCTACTCGTTCACATGTATCAGAAGAAGAAATTGTCACTAGAAATCGCAGCAAAAATTGGACTTTAGACTTCAAGTAGCAAGACGGTTAATGATAAACACGGTTACCACGAGGTATCCATTACCTTCACAGTTTACTCCCTTGAATCCCTCACTGCAGGTACAGACAAAGGCGCCATCGGCCTCGGTACAAACACCTGCATTTCTGCAGGGGTTAGGATGACAGTGGTTCTCTTCTGTAAAGTGGAAAAAATCTTGTTAATAAATCTTCAGGATTTTAGAAATAACTTTATTTAAACACGGTTAGCTCTACTAGTTTTGAATAGTGATGGGCGATACCAGCTTTTATGGTTTCGATACGATACCAGTCCGATACCATGAATTTTGGTCGATACCAAAATCGATACCGATACTCAATTTTTTCCATTCACTAAAATAACTTTTAAAACAAGAACATTAATGTTAACAAGTCAAAGAATACTCTAACTGGAGTACCTGCCAAATAACCGAACATAACATTTGCAATTATGATTTTAAATCTAAACAATATCAACGTGTTCATTGTTTTCCTTAAATATATTGCTAATTAGCTACATGTTTTTGTTTAAGAACAGCATCATGTCAACATTTTTTGCCTTCAGTCTGTTGCCTTCATGAAGTATCAAGCGATTGGTCAGGAATACTGACAAAAAACATTGCTGGCTCAAGTGGTATCGAGTTACCAATACTTTTGTGAGTATCGATGATTTCGATACTTTTTCGATAGTATTGCCCATCACTAGTTTTGAACTGTTTTCCTGTTGCTACATTGTTACTTGTATATTATCTTACCTTCACAATCAGATCCTTTAAATCCTGCGGAACAGATGCATTCGTATCCCTCTTTGATTTCGTTACAAGTCCCTCCGTTTTGGCAGGGGTTGGGCTCACAATGTTCTATGAAATATACGAGATTCTGAGAAAGACATGTTGTTAAAAAAGTTTGATGATTATCAAACCAGCTGAAAAATTCGTTTCCTTTCTACAAAATTCAATAGCCTTTTCAGTCCTGCATCAGCAAGGCCCCTTTTACACGCGTAACAATCTCAGCTCATCAACAACATGCATTCCCACTGCTTGTTCCCTGTTGTTGACAAGTCTGGAACAAGTTGTTATCATCTTGTAACAAGGTTGGTGAGGCCAACAGACTCGCAAGAGGTTGTTCCAACAAATCCCGTATCATCAGCACGTGACAAGTACGTTCTTAACGAGTTCATGACAACAAGCTCGCAGCAACATGTTACGAACAGTTAGTATTAGTCTTGTTGGAACAACTTGTAGCAAGTCTGTTATCATCATCAACCTTGTGACAAAGTGATAACAACTTGTTCCAGACTTGTCACAACAACTGGGAACAAGCTGTGCGAACATATCCTGGTATCGGCTTGACAACAAACTTGTTACAACTTGTTTGCAGATCTGTAACAACCCCCCTGAAAACATATTGAAATTTAATGTTCCAGGGGGGTGAATGCCTCTCTTTAGGGCACTTGCTAAGAACATGGCCGCCATCTATTTTTGTAAAAACTACCTTACGGTTTTCCCGCTGAAGTGAGACCTCTGTATATAAGTACTCAGTGGTTTGAGCCTCCTTAAATTTGCACAGGGGGCTTGAAAATAGATAAGGTGTGGATGGACTACAATCAATAATCTGTCTGTCAATAATTCTTATCGACGTATATTTCATTTCAGCACAGCCACACACGATATACTCCTCAAACCGTCTATAACTTACCATCGCCGTCTTCATCACCAAATTCATGCGGTCCTTGCGTTCCATCTAAGCCATCAGCATGCATTCCGTGTCCGAACAACGATCCCTGAGACATTCCACCATACCCCCCGAATCCCTGAGGAAGCATCTGTCTTCCATATAAAGATGGATACCTATTTGCAAGCAATCGCATAATACGTGAAGAATAAGGCAAAGCTAATGGCGGCCGCGGTATATGAGTTGTGACTATAGTTCTTTGCGTCAGTGGCGACGGTTTCATCCATATATAAGGCCTGTTTTCAAAATATCGTATTTTCGGTCTGTTTATAAATTGTCGCTTAGTCTCATTGGTATTGCCTGCCTTCTTTCCTTTTATTGTATTTTTTAATATGCTTTTCCCATTATTTTTAATATGTGATCTTTGCTTTCCTGCTTTTACGCTCGATTTAGCAGGAACTTCGGAAATAAAAATCACAAGTATAACAACCGCAACCAACACGAGACGCGGTTTTCTCATTATCCCAGATTCATCAGTGCCTTTTGAGATAAAGTGTTCGGCTTTTCCACCAAATTAAGTATATTTTCTATTCTTCCTTATCGGAAGAAATTTGTTGATCTTTTCAAGCCGTTTTGCCACCCCAAAAGTACCTGCTGGGAAATTGATAAGTTGTTTTTTTGCGCTTGTGGTCGATTGAATTATTGTGACTGAGTGCTTTCTAACAAACTGGCGTGAGGATCATTGAAGATCGCACGATAGTCGATATGGTTTTGAGATAGTAAGCCGCAATTAGAATTAATTTATGGGTTAAATGCTTGAATTTGCATTTAATGATAATAATAACACTTTATTTGACGGAGGTTAACAGATAATGCTACCACTTGTTTCCAATCTGGTCCTCTCAAAATGACATTAATACATTATTTACATGCAGACATTAACTGACATACATTACAATCACACAATATTAAACCCATACCCATCAACAAATATATCTGCTAGAATTAATTTAAAAAAAGTTCCGAATATAATCTTTGAATGTTATAGTCCTAGTTCAGTTGACCTAGCTATAGTGTGTTCTCATAGTGTTCTTTACAGAACATTTTAAAGGCTCTATATGTGAGATGAGTTTCCTTGCCACGTTTTGAAATCTGTTCCACAAGGAAGGAGCCAGCTACGACCCTTTTCCCACGTTGATTCTGGCTTTGGGAAGACACAAGTTGTTTTGTAGTGTCCTTGTGGAGTGGTGGTGTTTCGGCTTCTCTAACAGCGTGTTAAGGCAAGGTGGACGCGACTGATTTCGTGTAAGCAGTTGAAGGTTTGTAAAAAGATGTGTTGGTGAATGGTATCGTCTGTGGGAATTATGTTAAGTTGTTTGAATAGGCTTAGGGATGGAGTAGTGAAGTCTGCGTTCAAAAGAATCCTGGCAGCTCGTCTTGGGACAGAAGCTAAATGGCCAAGTCCATCTTTGGAACAGGATTCCCATACACTGCAGCAATATTCAAGTGTTGGCTCTGTAAACGTTGTAATGAAATGTGTCGCTTCTTTGGATAACGTGTTCAGAAACAACTTAAAGGGTATTACCGACAAAATTTAAGCACGTTCAGATTGGAAGAACTTCTTAAAACGTAGAATAAGATATTTTACGAATAAGATTTTTATATTTTTCTTTGGTTAGACACACCCTGGGTCAACCTTTTGACAGTCCTTTTTTTCCGGACCTTTAAACTTCGATGCTAGATTAGTCAATTAGCCTTTCTCACGCCGCCATTTTTGGGTGGCTTTTCAGCCGAAGTCTGCTATATAGTCCACATAACAGCGACTTTTTATAATTTTTTTGACGAATGATGGTAAATTTGCTTTGTAAATGGTTAGTTTCGTTTATTTTGAAAAATTGCTTTTCACATTGTTTTAATTGTCTGCATTGGTTAACGAGAATTAGATGCCACCCAATAATGGCGGATATTCGTCATCGTGAGAAAGGCTAATTTAAATCATCGATATATGTCTGAATGATTTGATCTATTTTGAACAGTGGGCTTTATGAATTTGGCTTGACTGCTATCTTTGAAAATATTTCACCGGCTTGAAACGTCATAGATTTATTTCATTTTCTTATCAAGCAAACTAATACTCAAGAATGACAGGAGGTAAAGAAAAGTTGTAAAATATTAGTATAACGAGTTCTTTCTCTCTAAAAGACTTTAATTTCATTCCTCTTACCCTTTAACGAGACCAACATTGAACCGACCATTCATGTCTTTTGAAAATTTTTTTTGTCATTATGTTTATCGTTCTCAAGTCCTAAAACGAAACTATAATTTTAAAGCGCTAGAAATTTTAATTAATCATATGGTTTGAAATTACGTCTGTCAGAGATCATTTCGCCCCCAGGACCTTGCTTGCTTCTGTCAAATAGAAGCTGCGAGTTGCATGTACTGCTTCTACTCTTAATTGAGCAAAAACAAAAAAATTAAGAGAGTTACTTTATTTTTTCTCCTTCTGTTATTATATAAACTACACTGTAGAAGTGTCGATTATCATTTGGCATAATCTATATAGTATATATAAAAGTTTTTAAAACCAAACAACTTTTTTTCAACGAATATGTTACCATATGTCATGATCTATTTGAAATTGCGTTGAGTTTTAATAATATCCGTAGAACTGTGGTTTTCTTATATGAGTATTTTCATGGCAGAATTGTGGAGAATGCACACAATCCAGTCATATATTGTAAGATCAGCCATTTCTTTACAATGGTACAAGCTGTATTCCTGATTGGCAATCGGGTAATCTGACCACGCCTCTACCCAGCTGAGAACGGTACTCCCATTCCCTGGCCAGCCTGGAGTTCTTCTTCAGTGGGTTGTTGGACTTGTGAATAATCTGGTGAATTTGTCGTGCCTGTTCCGGTGTTCACATTGTTTTGTTCTGAGTTGCCTTCTTCTGAATAATTGTTTACCTCCGGATTCGTTTCGTACGATCGTCTCACTGGAAAAAGAGCAAGAAATGAATTCGAAGTCTGGAAGGTTTAAATAGAGAGGGTCAGATTTGTGTGCCGCTACCAAAGGCCTGATTTTGGTGGAAATAGTGGGGAGGTGGAAAATATTTAGTGGAGGTGCAGCAGTCTAGCTCACGACCCCCATGGAAAGTCAGGGCTTAGAACGGACCAAAGTCAACGTGGTGTATGCATGACTTCAGGGGAGGTGCAAAAATTCTCAGGGGAGGTGCAAAACGATCTCAGGGGAGGTGGCGCTACCTCTCAAATCATAACAGGAAATCATGTTTTTGTTTCTGGGATCCTATGTTTTGGCGTCAACGTTTTCTACTATATTATTTAATATTCAAATATTCTTTTTGATTAATTATTTTCTATGCCCGTTAGCATTATGTAATTCCCTAAAATTTTCTGCCAGCTGAGCCAGGTCTGAAAATTTTCTGAGATCCTAGATGCCAGGATCCACCCTTATTTCCTGCTTTGCCTCAAATGCTTGATACGCATTTGATTGGTTAATCGGGTAGATTGAATGCACCTGATTGGTTCATATTAGCAGTAGCGGAAGCGAGAATATTGTTTCGTGCTTGTGCACTGTACATACCTGTAGGAAAACTGCTTGGGTCTGGCGTAGGGACTGGAACGTTACCATAATTGTTCTGTTCGACACGCGTTGGTTTACTGTATCTTGATGTGAGGTCTGGTTTAGGGACTGGCACGTAACCCGGTCTGTCGTAACCACTTGTTAGCGAAGATACAAAGTCTGATGTCCCTCCTTCTAGATTCCGTATATTCACTAAATTTTGTAAAGATAAATGCATTCAGAAAAAAATAGAATGCTACCTTGTTCTGTAATAACCGTGCTCCTTATAGTTATTATACTAGCAGGACGCTTTTCTGAATGTCCTCCCTCCATAATACCTATTTTGATACTTATACATAGATGGCTGTGCCATCTTCCAACGCAATTTCTGACGTATATTTAAGTAATTTAACTATGTTTTTTTTTTGTTTTTTTTTTTATAATGTTTTATCACCGAGCCTGAGGCGAATAATTGTTTTAGTATTTTTGCACAAGTTTTTTGTGTTTTTCTCGTTTGAATTCATTTTAATTTCGCTTATTTCTTTATCACTAACTTCAACAAAACGGCTAGCCGCCATTTTGAAAATTTCGATTTTGTTATATTCACCTGTTAGGTGAATATAACAGATTAGTATAATTACAAAGGTGATTATCGAAAATTGTGGCCGCTGATTGGTCAAGCGACCTCGGATTATTACGCGATAATCACCTAAGCGTTTTTTTTCAAAATGGCGGCGAGTGGTTTTGTCGAAGTGACAGATGAAGAAATAAGTTACTAATTTTAAAGAAAATACTGTACCTAAAAGCACGAAAGAAGTGACAAAATTTGGCTTAAAAGTATTTCGAGATGGGAAACTACGTTGCAGAAATCTGCTTAACTTTATTTCGCATAAAACACCGTTTTATTCAAGTTGTCGTACAATATATAGTTTAGACATTTGTTTACGTTTGTGAAAAAGTATTTTCTACAACAGATTGGTTTCAACAACAGTCACAATTCACAAATGAGTTTGAAGACATGAATATTGACGGAATAAACAAATGTTTATCAAAATTCTACGTTTCTATAAGAAAAAGTGATGGAAATTAATCAAATTATTACAAAAAAGCATTCTTGATGGCGATATGAGCGGCTCTGGATATAGAAACCTAAAGTCACCGCCGTACGGAAAAAGATTGAAATGTGTTATATTATTTTTTTTCAAATAATCACCTTTGTAATTATACTAAAACAATTATTCGCCTCAGGCTCGGTGAATATCGCTGAATAAAAACCTCGACTTCGTCTCGGTTTTTATTCAGCGATATTCACCTCGCCTTCGGCGAATAATTGTTAATTAATACGTCAAATTTGACCAATCACCTTGTAGGATTTGTTATGTTCACTTGTGCAAAAATACTACAGAGTCATGTTATGTCAATGTATTTCGAGAAAAGTTCTAAGCGTGACCCACGGTTTATTATGCTTTCTATACATTTTTCAACCTACTTCTCTTTATTTTTCAATTGCTTTTGAACATGCCAAAAATTAGCATAAAACAAGCTTTCCATTAAAAGTATGCTATATAAAGAAAGTAGGCAGAGCAGAATGCATACTCGTATCTCTCCGTGACTATATAGTGTTATGATAACCATAGCTCTATGTCCCAAATTGCATTGCAAGTTGCAGAAAAAACCGCTTGTGTGACTAGGGTCCAATTCCTGTAATATGTATGCAGCAGTCTGATTATATTCTCCCCAGGGTCAAATGTGGGATTCTAATGGTAAATATTAAGAGGCAATTTTTTTCAATGTCACTCGTATTTGTGATGAAATGTGTTCAAAACCTAAAATCTTTTTGGCGTTCCTCTCAAAATCACTTTGTTTTAGCTTTATTCTCTAGTTTATAGAGTTCGCAACCTTTTTAAATACATCTGCCGGTTGAGAAACATAAAATAATAGTTAAAAATTGTCAATTAATATAAAATACAATTATCAATGATGCTTTAAAATGACGCCATATTTACAGCCATATAAGCAAAACTTACTGAACTTCAGACATCATTTTCTCTTTGGCGTATCATCTAAAATCTCTTCATTTTAGTATTATTTTACAGATAAAGCACTAAACATACTTTTTAAGTTTGTTTGCCGATCGAGAAACGTATCGAAAAATAAAAATTTTGAATTTAGTCATAACCTCAAGTGGTATATTATACGCATTAGTTTTGAGCGCGTGTTACGTAACATACAAAAAAATCTCCTCTTAAATATCATGGTTTTTACGAATTTACCATATGGGAGATCAATAATAACCAATAATGATGGTAAGAGCTCAGTTTTTACATTCAAAAACACATTAATGGAAAGTTCAATTTTTTTCCTGTGAATTAATTTCTCTTTATAAAATAGTGTTTTGTCTGGGAGTAGTTGTATCGTACACTCAGATATACATACAAGTATTGTACGAATCGAATTTGGCCACTTCATATCCATACTATGTCCGCATGCTGCATTTTTTACTTACACTGGCAGTTCCTTCCCGAGAAGCCATTCGGGCAGATACATTTGTATCCAGTAGAATCAAAAGCAATGTCCGTGTACTTGTGCGAGTCCATGCAGGTCGCCCCATGTTGACATGGCTGGGAAAAGCACGCGTATTGAGGCACTTCGCAGTTTCTGCCACTGTATCCTGGGATGCAAAAACATTTGTAGCTATCTTGGTTGCCCAGCCTGACCAGGTTACTTTGACTGTTTCGCTGGTCGTAACAAGTACCATGATTAAGGCATGGGTGGAGAGCACAGGGGTTCGTCAAATCTTGAGCTAGACAAGGAGATAAATATTACCTTGGAGTTAAACCTTGATTGGAGCTTGCTCTGTTGTTTAACTCCTCGTATATAATGATGTACGAAAGCTTATTAAAATTGAAATTAAAATTAAAATTAAAATTAAAAACTAAAACTTTCTTTCCATTGCTATCAGACAATCTTGAAACAAAACATAGTACGGACAAATTCTGCAAAATGTGAGTGAACAAACAAGACAACACAGTAATCTTTCGAATCACGGTAATCTTTCTGGTTTTCTTGTAAATTACTCAAATTTTGAGTGATAAGATGCTTTTATTCGGGTTTCAAGCCCCGTGGTGGACTCGAAAATATTTCCTGTGTTTTAAGGTGGCTCAATACAGTTTTTAAAAAATGGAAAATTCACGATTTAGACGCGTATTTTTGGACAATTATTACTTGTTGACAAACAAAAAGCACCTTACTTATATAAGACAACATCTAAAGAGTTTGAATTTGTGCACAAAAGTTACGCAACTGCCGTTGCTATGGCAACAATGACGTTTCAAGATGGCGGATGTTTTGGCTTTAAAGTAATTTAACTCGTAAACGACACAAGTGACCCCCAAATTTTATTTTAAAGCATTATTTCTCTTAGTATAATCAATTATTTTGACAAATTAAAAAAAAATTCTGTGTAGCCGAAAATTTTTAAAATTACGTAAAGGTGATTATTCACAATATTTTTTTTTGGCTCCACAGAATTTTTTTTAAATTGTCAAAATAATTGATTATGCTAAGAGAAATCATTTTATAAAATAAAATTTGGGGGTCACCGATGTCGTTTACGGTACAGGTTCTACAGTACAGCAAAATTAACAAAATGCGAACGATTGTACCAATTCCGACTAGAGCGTCAAGTCATCACAAAGAAGGACAAATTCCTTGTATTGTGAAGGCTTAACTGCCTTTGTCAGAGAACATTAATTTTGCAATATTGGGCGGACGGCTTCAAGGGTTATTTCTAAGATTGTAAATAGGATATTTAACAGTTATTCTACGAACTCGAGTCGAATATGAGCTGATAGCCGATGAGGCGCGTAGCGCCGAATCGGCTATCGCTCATATTCGACGAGAGTGAGTGGAATAACTTTTATTGTATACACAAGGTCTGAATTCACAGACTTTGCTTTTTCTGTTATTTTCAATATTTTTCTATTTTGTTTATGTTTTTATCTTCGCTCTTTCGGCCGATTATTTTTTCAAAAATATATTTTTTTAACCATTCTAGATTTTAAAAATTCATTTGCTAACCTGTAAACAATTTGTGAGAGTTTTTAATTGTGTTTTTAATCTTGAAAAAGCTATAAAAAGCGAACAACTTGCCGTTTTCTCGTTTGCAAACGTCGGAAATTCAGTTTGAGCCGCCATTTTGTTTTTCTCTACCAGCAGGATATGAGCTAATATCCTGCTAGTAGAGAACCAATCAGATTGCAGAATACCTCATATCCAGACCTTGTGTATATAATAATATGTGTTATGTTCTTTCTAATTCTCTCATACCTTCACATTTTTGACCTTTGAATCCAAGTTTACATTTGCACACATAACCAACATGAGTGCTGAAACACGTTGCACCATTCAAGCATGGATTTTGTGGGTAACAGTAATCATTGTCTAGAAGAAATATTAGGAAACGTAAATGCTTTGATTAAGCCTTGTTTGCAATATCAAAGTTTCTGTGATCACAGTAGGAATTTTGCATAGGTAAATTCTAAGTTTTGAAGGATTTGTAAGAATTGCTTGAGGGAACTGACTCTGTATTAATCAATGAGTTATTATTTCCCTCAAAAATGTCTTATAAATCATTCAAAACTCAGAATTACCCATGGGAATTCCTGCTGTGATCACAGAAACTTTAATAATAGTGCAAACCAGGTTTTAGTAATGGAGAAGGATGATCCATGGTTGCAGAAGGTACTAGGCAATATCTCAGTTTCTTTAATAGTCGTTTGAACTTTCGTTTTAGCCCCGTGACTTATGTCAGTACATCAAAATAATCCCGCTTCGCATCTATATTTCCGACAAAGCGGGATCGTATAAATAGCCCCTTATTTTGTATCTGCAAAAGGTGACTCACTATCTGTAGAAATAATACGTTGCTTCACTGATATTATTCTAACGATACAAGTTTAGAGGTTTTGTAAGAAGCTGGGAGCATGCCCTAATCAATCTCTAAATGGCTTAGTTTCATTTCGTACAGAGCATAGCTTTTCGTGAGCTTTCTAGCTTTCGTAAATGGATTTGAATATAGCGATATCGACTTACGTTCGCACTGCAGACCGCGTTTTCCCTCGATGCAAATACAATGATATCCAAGACGATTTTCAGCTGGGAAACATTTCCCGGCGTTTATGCAGGGGTTTGGAAGGCACGCATCTTTTCCTGTAATGAAAAATAAAGTACTTCAAAATTCATACCGCGCAAGTATGAAAAATCTTGCGCTAACAAAGCCACGATCCTCGATGTCTCTTGGTGGCTATAACATGGCCCTAAATCAGTACATTGTTTTCTTGTGGGTATATAAGAGATTGTCATGATTGTCGTGATTGGCATGGTAGAGTGTACTGTGCTCGCCTTTGATAATAGCTATGTGTTCTAAGGCAAATCTATTTAAGTATTCCGTAAGATATGCAAATGAAGTCCACTATTAACACAAATTAAAGTGCGACTAACCCCAAATACAATTTTTGGTATGTGTAATATTTGGGTCATTCTGATAAGAAATGTAATGTATCTTTATAGTAAAAAACCTCATCTTGATCAACTTTTTCACTGTCAAAATTCCAGATATGATGTCATTAGGTGAATTTTTGGCACAAAAAAAACAAAGGAAAACTAATTCGCAATTCACCTAATGACATCATATCCGGAAACTTTGACAGTGAAAACGTTGATCAAGATGGGATTTTTTATTGTAAAGATATATTACATTTCTTGCTCAAATGACCAAAATATTAGACATACTAAAAATCATATCAGTGGTTAGTCGCACTTTAAAGTGCCTATGACACGAAATTTCACCCCAAAGGTTTATGGTTGCATTGTAAAGATCACTTAAAATGACTTAATAATTTCTTTTATAGAATTTTGGTAACTTGCTTCCTTTTCAAGATATTCAACTTTGTTTCATATGCAAATATCACCGGTGTGACATCACATCACATAATGAGTTTTCAGAAAAGTATGGTTTTCTTGACGAATACGTATCTAAAAAAACTTAAAAATTGCCCTTGTACTGATATGTAGTAATTTCATAACTGGTAATTAACCCTCTGTATTTGTTTGTAAAAATATTTTATCAAGGTAAAATATTGCGTTTTCAAAATGTCATTATGCGATGCGATGTGATGTCACACCGGTGATATTTGCATATGAAACAAAGTTGAATATCTTGCAAAGGAAGCAAGTTACCAAAATTCTATAAAATAAATTATAAAGTCATTTTAAGTGTCTTTACAATGCAATCATAAACATTTGGGGGTGAAATTTCGTGTCATAGGCACTTTAATCTATAGACAACATTGTTTAGGGATTTGTCGATGGAAACTGCGTGTGTGATTTTTATACATTTATTAAGACCCAACCAGGAGCATTTGTGAAAAATGCAACTATATGCCCTCTGACAGGAATCGAACCTGTGATTGCGGTGCAGCGTTCTCACCAACTGAATTTATATGAAGAATATGAAGATAAAATCCGTTGTCTTACTCTGGCATTGGTTTCCAGCGAATCCTTGTTTACAGACACACATGTAACCCTTTTCATTCGCTTTATCTTCAGCACATAATCCATCATTGACGCAGGGATTTGGCATACACGGAGAACTGAAACCTGCCACAGAAACAAAGGTTGATTTTGGTCTAGTTATATGGTGAGTACATTATTTTATTTTTATAATAACGGCCTGTTTATCTAGTCTCTATTAATGATATTAAAAATATTATAGTTAGCTCTTAAAACGAGCGATTTATAATGGAGACAGATTCTACGATTGGTTAATGCCACGGCCAGTTAGAGTAATGAAAGAACCATTCAAATTATATTACCATCACAATTTTTCCCGCCAAAACCTTCAGGGCAATCACACTCGTACCCAGACTTCGTGTTGAAACATTTTCCTCCGTTTTTGCATACGTGCTTGTAACAGTAGTTCACCTCTGCAAAGAAAATTGCAAGGGATTCAGAGAGCAAGACCGGACGAATTGGGACCTTTATGAAAAAGGTGTCGCTAGAGGACACTTTCTGTCCATTACTATCATGTGATATCCCAATATACCCCTCACCTTCCCAATGATCCCACACAAAGCTGGGGGACACTTGCGGACAATGTTATGACCATTACTATAATGTGATATCCCAATATATCCCTTACCTTCCCAATGATCCCTAGGAACCCTGAGGAACACCTGCAGACAATGTCATTACTATCATGTAATATCCCAATATATTCCTTACCTTCACAATGATCCCCCAAGAACCCTGGATGACACTTGCAGACAATGTTATGTCCATCACTTTTACACACACCGTTGTTCTCGCAGGGGTTGTCGGGGTAGCACATATTATGTTCTGAAATAGTCAGTTAATTAGGCCTGTTAGGGAAATAGTATTTTTGCGTCCTTAATAGTTACGGTAAATATTCGAGAAACCAATCTCTGAGATAGTGGGTTCGACTCTGGCTACGGACTCATGCGAGATGAGTCTTTCAACGCCCTGCCGAAAGTCGTGGGTTTTCTCCGGGCGCTCCGGTTTCCTCCCACAGGGAAAGTTGACAGGGTGGGTTAGGATAAACAAAATCAAGAAAGTAATATCACAATTGTTGTAAAGATAAATGATTTAGGCTAAGTAGGTAATACTTGATGTAATCGGTCACTGAAAAACCCGATGGGGAGTGAGCTGAATATAGTGTATGTATATATGTATACCTCATATTTCTCCGTAAACGGGCGAACTGTTTCCATATATATACCTTGACAGTGATGACCTCCCCACTCTAAAGGACAGTGACAGATGAAGCCGTTCTTGTAGTCGTGGCATCGACCTCCGTTTAGACATGGCTTGTGGGCACAATGGCTACGAACTGAAAGAAAGAATTCTAGAATTTGAAATTTTATAATTTGAATATAAAACTGAAGATTTGTAGTTCACGTTTGAATGAGGCAAATGTGCTTTGCATTTTGATAACTAATTAATGGTAGTTTATTTTTGTGTGTGTTGGTGTCATGCACTCAGGTGAATATAATGTTTGTGATATTACTCTGAGTGTGCATCCACACCAGGCAAGCTGAAAAGTTTGCCTAACCACGGTGGGAATCGAAGCTGCGACCTTTGGGATACGAGTTATTTGCTTAGTATTTATGCAAAATGAAGGATTTATATGCAGGGCCGCCGAGAGGGCGTGTGTACTACTTACGATGACACAGGGAGCCCATATAACCCTGTTCACATTCACAATGATAACTTCCATCATCATGAGTCTGACATTCACTATTGTGTTGACATGGGTTTGGTAAACACGGGTCGGAATCTAAAACAAATCATAAATAAATGAACTAAACGATATCCATGTGAAAAGAGTCAATCAATGCTCTGCCGAATGTCATGAGTTTTCTCCGGGTACTACGGTTCCACAGGGATTGTTGACAGGGTTGGTTGGGATTAGTCCCTAAGCTGGGATTAGCCCTAAACTAACCCTTCCATCGTAGCGGTGCTCTCAGGCATGAGTCGTAAGGTGGCTGCCAGATGCGTCCCTAGAAAGCCTTCGACTCGATCATATTGAGCTGTGTCCTTCGCAATTGACCACTTGCGTAATAGACTAAATTTTGATCTGGACAAAAATTTCATCACAGCTTGAAAGAGCATCACAAAATTAGTAATATTCTAAAGTTTCGTTGCGAAATGTTGTAAAATGCGGATAATATAGCCTTGCGAAGTTTGCAATTTTCAGTTATTTTAGATTACAATTTACAAACGGGAAATTGACAGCCCAATACCCTTTGGGGCTGTCAATTTCCCGTTCGTAATCTAAAATGACTGAAAATTGCCAACTTCGCAAGGCTATATTATCTGCATTTTACAACATTTGAATATTACTAATTTTGTGATGCTCTTTCAAGCTGTGATGAAATTTTTGTCTAGACTTGTTGAGATCAAAATTTAGTCTATTACGCAAATGGTCAATTCGGCTTAGCTTTCAGCTGCAAATAAGGATAATAAACACTCCTCCCCCTAAAATTAATATAGAAAGACTTCAAGTTCAAGACCTTATTCTTCAGCATAAAGGCTGGTCCACACTATCAAAGTTTCGGTGATCACAGTAGGAATTTTGCATAGGTAAATTCTAAGTTCTGAAGGGTTTATGAGAAATGTTTGAGTGTTTACCATTAAGTCAGTTTCCTCAAACATTTCTTACAAATCCTTCAAAACTTAGAATTTACCGATGCTGAAAATTCCTACTGTGATCACAGAAACTTTGTGCATCCAGGCTTCAGAAATGGAGAAGGAGGCAACATCTCAGTTCCTTTAATAGTCGTTTGAATTTTCGTTTTAGCGCAGTGACTTACTGTATTTCAATAACACTGAACAGTTCCAAGCTCTGGGCAAAGATTGTCATTTATCTACTTACGTTCACAAAGTTTTCCCACGTACCCTTGCGGGCATTTACAATGAGCGATATTTCTGATCACGACACATTCAGCGTTGTTGAGACAAGGACTCTTCTTGCAGGGATCTTCGTCTGTATGAATAGAAATACTACGTTAAACCTCATGTTCATTGCTTGTTGGGTTGGAAACTTTTGTTTATTCAGTTTCTCACTCATTGGTGAGCGGATTTCCCAACAGGCTATATATTGCCCAATGGACCTTTCACCTTTTGACTAAAATTTAGATCTCAACAAGTTCGCAGTGAAACTTTGGAATATTACTAATTTTGTGATGCTCTTTCAAGCTGTGATAAAATTTTTGTCTAGACTTGTTGGGATCTAAATTTTAGTCAAAAGGTGAAAGGTCCATTGATAGGGGATCCGAGGTATCTACGATTTTAACGTCCTTATCCGAGAAGCTGCGAAAGTCTTAGTCTAACCATTTACTGATGTCAATGTAAAGGTAGTACTTTCTCCTCAATTATGTTAAGGTTACAGAACACCTTTGAAGGGTTAATTTTGCCTAAAACTTTTTTATTGGTTTCCATGAAAGCATTAGACTAGTTCTACTAACTGACCAAGTTTGAACGAAAAATGTTGAAAACTCGCAGAGTTATTTAATAAAATACATTTCGCTGCAATAAGAAAAACATTGAAAATGTAATATTCAAATTCAATTTTCTCCCGAAGAATTTTACGGTAATTACTGATTTTCAAACGAGTTATGCTCCTGCGGATTTTGACCAATTTTTCTCAAATTTTCACAGGACATAGCTAAAGACGTCAGTTTCAAAATTGTGTTCGGCTTTTTTTAAATTTTGGATATTTTAATAATAGGGAGCAATTCACTCAAAGAAATCGCCATATCAGCGGAATGACGAAATAAACAAAAAATTCCGAACACTATTTTTTAGAACAACTATTTTACTGTATAAAAATGATGTTTTCATAAATATAACTTAAAACCAGCAGGAGCACAACTCAAAAGCGTAACGGTACCGCGATTTAAGATTTTCCTGATTTGGTGAAAATTTGATTCAAATCGGACTGATATTGACCGCGCAGTAGCGATTTTCCGCAAAACGCCAAAGAGGGTGTCCTGTAACCTTAAGACCTTAAGTTGAGGTCCGACCAAGGATTGAACCCGGATCTCCCGGTTTGAAAGGCAAGCGTGGTGATCACGACACCACAAGAGCTGGTTTTCGTTGTGAAATTTGGTTTAAATCTGGTGACAAGTCAGTAACACCGAGTAAATGATAATATACAGTATATAGACCCATTGCACGTGACGTCACAGCGCCGATGACGATGCATCTGGAGGACAAATTAGCAATCTATGCATACTGTAGCTTCTGTAAACAAAGCAATTTTTGTAAAACTTTATAATAATTTTGTTTAAAACGGTTAATTTTTGCGCTGTATATGTGGTTGTTGTACCCGAATAGATATTGTTAGGGAGCATCTGGAGGACACTCTATGGATTTGTGACGTCAGTGCAATGGGTCTATTATGAAGATCATACTTCATTATTCATTCTTACTTTCACAATGCACCCCCACGTATCCTGGCAAACAACGACAACGATATCCTTCATCACTGTTGGAACAGCGTCCGCCATTTTGACACGGGTTTGGCTCACAGTTGTCATTTTCTAAACATAATCAACCACAGTGAATACCAGGGGCTGGTTTAAAGCTGGACTAGCGCTAACCTTCGGTTAAAATTGAAGCTGCTGCTTTAGTTTATGTATTTCTTTACATCTTTTTTATTTAAAACCTGAGAGAAGAAAATTCCTACTGATCCAGACAAGATTTCCAAAGAAATATTTCCAAATCAGTTATAAACAAAGCTTTTTGTGAACTTTGCTTTGAATTCCGTTCTGACCGAGTTAATGGAAAGTGCCCCTAGGGTTAGCTTAGGCCATTTCGAACAACCGGCTTCTGTTCAGACATGAGCCATGAGACGGCTGCTGTAGGCGCCCTTAGAAAGCCTTCCACTCAATTTGGTTGAGTTGTGTGGTCCGCAATTCAGTTTAGCTCTGAGCAGCAATTAAGGGTTTAATGCTCTTCTACAGGGCTCTTTATGGTATTTCTGATCTCAATGTTCATGACTATGTCTCGTTTGTAACCCATAACCACTCCCGTCTATGTCGTAATCCCAACAACCTGTTGCTCAAGACTCCATTGTGTAAAACCACAACATATCAGAACTCATATTTCAACCGGATCGTGAAATTATGGAACAGTGTTTGCAAAGTAGCTTCACCAAATACATTCTCTAGTGTCAAAACATTTAAATACTACCTCTTTAATCACTATTCTATGTTAGTATCGACCGTATTCGATGTAAACTTGTTATGTACTTGGTCTATGTCACGTGCCTGTCCTTGTCATAGGAGTTAATTGTCTCGCTGTATAAACTTGTTATTAGTAAACTATATTTACATGTTTTCTTTTTTGTGCAAGGTGCCTTGCATGGATAGCGTAGATTATTTACGTTCCGTTCGCACCTCTTCCATTTGGGTAGTATTTGTTCTTTGCAAGCATAGTATTAGTACGTCTTTTGTAAATAATTTACCCAATAAAGTATTTAAACTAAACTAAAAAACTAAATGGATGATTAGCACTTACTTGCTCACTTCCCTTGTTTTTTTTCTCAAAACATTGAATTGAATTATTACAACTTACCTTTACAAGATTCTCCAGTGAATCCAAGAGGACATTGGCAATGAAATGAAATTGCACTCAACGTACAAACACCACGGTTGGAGCATGGATTAGGAGCACATAAATCTTTCACTAAATATCGGGAGAGGAAAAATAAAGCTCAAGCATAGCATTACTTACCGCGTAATCCTGTAGTTATTAGAGAGGTTAAGATACCCCGGTTCCGATTTACGGGTACGAGTATCGCCATTTTGCTAAGCAATTTTTGCTGATATCAGCATTTTTACCCGTAATTTCTACCCGTTTCCCCGCGGTAAACCAAAGTCTACACGTAAAAGACAAACGGGTACGGGTGTTTTTTATTTACTATAAGTGGTCCGTTTAAATAGTAAAAATTTTCAACATCTTACCCAAATAAATAATGCACATATGCTCGTCAAAGTTTTCAACAATTTATGGCGAACTTCATCAGCGAAAGTTACCATTCTCTGATCGGTTTTCACACGCCGGAATTCTCAGTTACAAGTCGTTCCCCGATTTGCGGGTACGGGTACGTGTATATCACCCGTACCCGTAAACCGGAACCGGGGTATCTTAACCTCTCTATTTTCTACTTCTAAACTTATTTAGAAAACACGACGCGAACTGAAAGACGCGACTTCGAAACAAAGAAATTCTTTATGAAAAACAAAAAGTTTGAACAACTTGTGGTCCCAGGGGTACCCTCAACAACGTTGTCATTCTTAATACAACGTTAAACTAAGATTTTCACGTCATTAGAGAAACGTGTATTATACGGTTGTGGAGAAGTTGGAGGAGTTAAAATCTGTATCATAGCTAGCAAACACCGGTTCGTTTTCCCTGAACTCTGCAGTTTTTAAAGTTAGTTTAAAAAGCTTCAATTTATTACAGTAATCAAGTTCCTTGGTCGTCGCGTTTGCCTTGTCTTTTCTAAATCTGTCTATTGGAAAACGAAGGATGTGCTGCTAAAGCCTAGGGATCGATTGTTCAAAAGCCGGTTACCTTAACACTAGGTTATAAATTAACCTAAAATTTAAAGCAATCTTCCTAACAACTTGTTTATATAATACGTTTTGTTTGTGGAAACACCACGTAAATTTATTACTGCAAAGCTTTCGAACCGTAAGCCCGGATCTTCATCAATGCTAATAATGTTGATGAAGATCCGGGCTTACGGATCGAAAGCTTTGCAGTAATAAATTTACCTGGTATTTCCACAAACAAAAAGTATCATATGTTTTATCGCGATGCAAACCTACAAAGAACCTAGCTTGTTTATAAATTTGGAAATATTCCTTCAGAAATCTTGTCTGGATCAGTAGGCCTAGGAGGTTTCTTCTCTGAAGTTTCGAAATAAACAGACATAAATACATACATAATTTAAAACAGCAGGTTTGAACAATCATCCCCAGGTTGCAAGCCTACTCTGGTGACCATTAGGCGTATTTTTCCTCGTGTACTACTTACTTTCGCAATGCCTTCCCGTGAATCCTTTCGGGCAGCGACAAGACATAACACCTTTTGAAAGGCGACATTTTCCAGCGTTTTTACAAGGATTGTGCATGAAACATTGGTCTTGCTCTGAAAGTAAAGTGATTGTGTTAGATGAAGGTCATGTTAAATTAACTTGCTTTAAAAAAATTACCTTGGCAGCGAGATCCAGTGAATCCATTTGGACATGCGCAGACGTGTTTTGTTCCATATCTCTTGCAGGCTCCCATGTTTGTACACGGGTTCGGAATACATGGATTCTTCGCTTTAAGAAGTAGAATAATAGGTTTTAATGCATTATCCTTTCAAGAGACAAGTGACTCCATACCGTCATTCGCTATGTCTTTTCAGGATCCAAGGAAATCTGATTGAATCTGATTTTCATTTGTTAAACCTTGTCTAACTTGGAAACGTACCCTACGGTTTTAGCTTCTGATTTTATTGATGGTTTGTTTTATTCAATTATGTCACAATAATTTGTATTTGTATTTTTGCACAAGTGAACATAACAAATCCTATACACGTTGATTGGTCAAATTTGACGTAATAAGCTGTTCTATTCACCTACAGGTGAATATAACAAAACAGAAATTTTCAAAATGGCGGCTACCCGTTTTGTGAAAGTTTACTGACAAAGAAATAAGCGAAATTAAAATAAATTCAGTCTCAAAAAACACAAAAGCTTGTGTAAAAATACTAAAACAATTATTCGCCGAAGGCGAGGTGATTATCGGGGAATATTCACCTCGACTTCGTCACGGCGAATATTCCCCGATAATCACCTCGCCTTCGGCGAATAATTGTTAAAGAGTACTATTAACTAACCATATTACTTTATTTTGCTCACATGATAATATTCGATTCATGGTGAAGTTTATTTATCCAATCCTAGGACTGGATCAAACCTCACTTTAAGTATAGTGATTTATTTGTATGAGATGCAAGGGTGGGTTGACTACAACATTTTTGTAGTTCGCTATAACTACAGCTACTTCAAAAATATGTAGTCAGCTACAACTACTGCTACTTTTCAACAAAAGTAGTTCGATACTGACTACAGCTACTGCTTAAAAAATGTAGCGAACTATTTCGCTACGCTATATTTTTTAGCTTTACGGTATTTGGGCTCAGGCTGTAATTTAACCTATAACAAATCGACTTACGAGTAGCAACAGTAAAGAAAAGGGTCAAAGCAACATTTTTGTAAGCACTATACAGTGTTCACGAGTGCCACTTTTCAATGCGCTAAAATAATCTTTACTGTATAAAATAATCTTTTAAGCAACCCGTGTCTTAATATCATTATATTCTACGAACGGTTGCTAACAATTTTAAAAAGTAGCGAATAGCGATTCGCTGTTTGAAAAGTAGTCAACTACTTGGCTACTTTCAGGCAAAATGTAGTTCGCTATAACTACAACTACTGTTTTAAAAAAGTAGTCAAAAACTACTGGCTACTTGAAAATTGTAGTTCGCTACAGTAGCGAACTACAACTACTTCGCTACTACCCACCCTTGTTGAGATGTCATATCAAATGCGACATTTCGGACTTTACCAGATATTCAGTCCTTGAACTTATTGACTAGATATCCGGTAAAGTAAAGATGATAGTCGGATTTGATATATTACTTAAAGTATACCTTTACAGTTAAGACCGGTAAACTGTGGAAGACATCGGCATTTGTACCCAGTCTCTTTAACCACACACACGCCATTGCGAAGACACGGATTAGGATTGCAATAATCAGTGGCTAAAAACGGAAACAATCGAGTTCACCACTGCCTATATTTAGAGTCAAGCACTTGGTCAACATTTGGTGATAGTCTGTTTCTACTCAGCTGAGGGGTTTACAGAGTCCAGTTGTTGAGCTCTAACCACAAGTTCATGGGTTCAAGGTGTATGGGGGGTAAATAACAGGATATTGGGCATCTAAGCTCGATATAACTAATGGACAGCTTGCATGTTAGACTAAATTTTAATCCAAGTAAATAGAAGGGAATCAAACACCACAGCTAATAATGAAATTAGTAACATTGCAAAATTTGGTTCCGAAATGTTGTAAAGCTTGGAAAATATAGTCTTGCAAAGTTTCCAAATTTTGTATATGTTTGTATTACGTGCGGAATCGAAATTGTTACCATTTTCGGCTCAAAAATGGTAACAATTTCCGCACGTAATACAAACATATACAAAATATGCAAACTTCGCAAGGCTATATATTCCCGTATTTTACAACATTTCGCAACCAAATTTTACAATTTTACTAATTTTAATAAGTTCTTTACGGGAATTTACTTTTTTTGCCTAGATCAAAAATTAATCTGACATGCAACTTGTCTATTGTCGAATGGTATTGTGATGGAATTTTCTAGCGTAATAACGTTATAAGATTTAAACCCTGGGCATGGAAACATTGTTGCGGAAAAATTGTTTCCTACCAATGTTTCGCCATATTTCCAAGAGTGGGCAAACACTAGGAAACATTAGTGAGAAACATAGGGAATTATAATATAGCATTTGTAAATTCTGAGCGCTGATTGGCTAAGAGCCGTGTTGATATAACTCCATGTCAACACGGGAAATTTTCCGCCGCTTGTAAACACGGAAATTTTTCTTATTCTTCGGGCTTTTGACATTGCTATATTATAAAACAAATATAAAACATTTTTTCCGTATTGATATATAGTTATATCAACACTCGTGGAAGTTGGGAAAACTCGAAATTGTGTGAAAACACTCTGCCCTTCGGGCGTCGTGTTTCCACACAATTTCTCGTTTTCCCAATTTCCACTCGTGTTGATATAACTGTATATCAACACGGAAAATGTTTTATATTTGTTAAACATCAAATGTTTCTGAATTTGCTAGGGAACATTTTTGCTTCTCGGGAAGCAAATTTTGTTTCCGCAACAATGTTTCCACGGGTGGGCAAACAGGGTAACATTTGTGGAAACATCGAGAATCACAAATGTTTCCACAACAATGTTTCCTAGTTTGCCCAGGGCTTTACACCCGAAATTTCCATCGACAAAACCTTTCAACAATCAGTTCCATCCAGTGAGATGCCGAAATCCTCCTATTTCCACTGACCTTCGCAGTTTTTTCCCTTGAATCCCGGCTTACAGTGACAAAAATATGATCCTTCTCCTTCGGAACATAATCCGCCGTTCATGCAAGGCGCCTCCACACAGAAGTTTTGAGCTAGAGACGAAAGTAAAAGGAAACAAAAGTAAAGTTTTTATGAAGAGAAATTTCCAACACTTTTTACATGACAAAGCGGACTCTTGATGCGGATGCGAGCCGGAAAACATTGCATGGAAATTGCAACGCGTGTGGCTTTGATATAAATGTGTACAGATTATGTCAGGCTGTCAGCCGACTTTTATCGAGCACTGGTCGGTCCCACTGTGGCAACACGAAAACCATAACATCGCCCTAAATTTTTATCCCTATCTAACCAATATGGACTACATTTTGATCAAGGCTGAAGAAGAACGAAATCCAACATCACAGCTAGAAAGAGTGTCTTAGAATGAGTAAAACTGCAAAGATCGGTTGCTAAATGGTGTAAAATGAAGAAAATATAACTCTGTGAAGTTCGCAAATTTTGTATACACCCTTTTCATAAATGGCTGCCGATTAGAAATTCCTTTATGTGCATATAAATTGGCCAACTAGCCTCGTTTCTGGGTAGAAATTCCTTTGAAATCTTAACATGAGTACGAGGCTAGTTGGGCCAATTTATATGCACATAAAAGAATTTCTAATCGGCAGCCATTTATGAAAAGGGTGTATATATTTGTATTACGCGCGATAAAAATAACCACTTTCGGCTTAAAAATGGTTATTTTTACCATGCGTAATGCAAATATATACAAAATTTGCGAAGTTCGCAGGGCTATAATTTCCTCATTTTACAACAATTCGCAACCAAACTTCGCAATTTTACTCATTTTAAGATGCTCTTTCCAGCTATGGTA